GTCGCTTCTACAGCGCGTTCGGGCGCTCTGCGACACCCAATCGCCATTCTTATCTATCAACCCAGAGGTGATCTGGTAAATGGCAGCTTGTGATTTCATCTTGAATACCACCTATCCACGATTTTGATGGACACTCCCTACGTCTCCTCTCAGGAGAAACCCACTTTAGTGCCTTCTTAGGCAATCTGTCTTCCGCAATTCGTTGAACATTACGATACCGGACAAGCTGTTTGAACTGTTTTGCATCTCGAGCATTTTGACTGAAAATTTCACCGATTTTTCTTCTGATCTCATGCGGAAATCAGAAAAAATCTTAACACCGATTGCATACGTATATTCTTGTGGAAAATTGAATCGCTTGAGTCAATTTTGCCACTTTGAAACGGAGGTGCGTTCCTTCGTCCGGAAAACGACGAATTTTTTGGGAGCTCTACAAGGCATCTACGCGAACCCTAGCTCGACATTTTTCCTCTTAGACAATGGAGATGTTGCATGTGTGAAGTATTTGCGATTTGACTCTTGATTCTTATGTAAAAGTTCGCGAGAAACACGATGGTGCCACTGGTTTTCTCTGAAATTGACTCCTAAGCTCAAAAAAAGCTCACAAGTTGAGGCCAAAATGGAGAGAATATCCCACCCTACCCCGAGAGTCCACGTCTACATCCAGACAAACTCTCCATGCAAAGATAGGGAGCAAATACATTAGCAGGGTTGCCGTGTTTTCAGTTTTGGAGTCCCCAAATAAAGTGGCAGCCCTGTCAATGTATTTGCTCCCTATCTTTGCATGGAGAGTTTGTCTTGATGTAGACGTGGACTCTCAGGATAGCGTGGGATATCCCCTTCATTTTGGCCTCAACTTGAGAGCTTTTTTTGAGCTTGGGAGTTGATTTCAGAGAAAACCAGTGGTACCATCGTGTTTCTCGCAAACTTTTACATAGAAATCAACAGTCAAATCGCAAATTCCTCACACATGCAACATCTCCATTTCTTAGGCCCTCTCTTCATAGACAATCAAAAAGAATGTGAAGAAAGGAAGAATTTTGGCAAGACCGGATGTCTGTAGCAGTCGCCGTTAGAAAATGGTATCGAGTACCCCCAAATGAATTATTTTTTAAATCCAATTTTGAATGATGCATCATTAGAAAGGAGATGAAGAATGAAGACTCCTAGCGCAAATCAGAGGTTCTTATCCATCACCAATTCAAAATGGTGGTCATTGCAAACCTTAGACCACGCGCTATTTTGAATCGGAGATATTACTGGAGAGTTCCAGTCTTTGTCAAAATCCCTTCATTTTCACGTTCTTCTCAATGGCGTATCAAAAAAGGGGGTTTTTCCTTGAAGAATTTGAGTCAGGGTCCAGGTCCACTCAAGCGCCGAGGAGTGGCCTCGAACATTTTTGGTATGCCAAAAAGTAGCCCTTTGACCTAGGAATACCCACGAAGTTTCGTGTTTCGAAGTGCAACCGTTCAAAAGTTAGCAGGGGGAATCTGAAGTTTTCAAAGACCCTGTAGATATTTTTCCATTTGTAGCTATGATAAAGAATCGATTTTTAAGGTATACCCCGACAATCGATCCTTTCCCATGGGTTTAAATGACAGAGCAATCGATTCATCGCAAAGCACGCGGCAGTCTTGGACGACCTTTGACCTGGTCGCGACGACGAGTCGCCTCGACCAACAGGAGCTTTACGGTCGCCAGGGAACAGTTAAAACATAATTAACTGCAAAGGACGCGGGTAGTGGATGAGGGGGAGGGGGAGGATTACAATCGCCCAATGAAAGACCCAGTATCGGCACTTAGGCGTGGATATGCACAATAGACCGGTATGAACAGGATTTGAGTTGCGATGCCAAATGATGTTGCCTCGGTGGCGTTGCGAGAGGCAAAGACGGCATCTCAGCGTATTTGTATTTGGATCGCATTTAGCAAAAAGGAACCAGCGAAGATCTCGTTTCTTCATAATTTTCCAAAAAATGTCTCAAAATAAAAAATACTAGGCCCAAATACTAGATTCTTCCTCCCACCAAAATATTGTTCATTTTAAAGGGAAATAATTTTGTACACACAATATATTAGTAGTTTTGGCACATGTTGCCCTTATCCATGAAACTTCAGAAGGCTGATTATTAGAATTTGTAGACAAAGCTATAGAGAAAAAAGACAAATAGAAAATGGAGCGATACAAGTGATTGAAATGGGTGGTTCTTATGAGCTAAAGGTGAAAATGATGGACTAAATAAAGGCTCTCTCATAGGATGCCGTTAGTTGGTACATTACTTACATGCCTAGACCATAGCAACTACCCACTTCCAACTGTATGATCGCTCCGCTTTCCCGTCGTCATCTTTGTCCACAGCTTTGCCCATCAATTTCAATAATCAGCTCACTGGCATTAATGACTCAATTTTTTATTTTTCTGCAGTTTTACCGAGAAGCGACACGATATGATGCAGAGGAAGATGCTTGGATGGAACCAGCTGAACAGCTGAACAAAGTTCTTCGCCTCTTGAAACAGACCCAATGGACCACTGTATAGGCAAGGTACAAAGCTGAGCGTTCTGATGCATGTTTTTTCACCAAGATTTAACGTTGAACACGATTCGTGCAACGAAAATTACTAAATTAACTCCTAACCAAAATGTTTAATGTTTCTTGACGCGTAAATTCAAACCTTCCGCTCGTGAAAACACAATGGTCCACGTATCGCAAACTGAACGTTACCGTGGCGCTCTCTGGGATACGAAAATATGGCAATCTCAATCGTGAAACTTTGGCTCAGCTATAGCAAATTGTTTACACTTTGAACAACAAAGGGTGGGACAACAATGTTTGATAGAGAAGCCTGCCAAAACCGTTGTAGGGCGCGATTTGACTCACGCAGAGTATTGCGTTTCTTGTGACCGGGCAATTCTTTCCCGTAAAATGTACAATTAAAACGCTCGTATCCTAGTTAGAAGTTGATTTTGGTAATTTTTGTCGCGCGAATCGTTTTCTCCATGAAATTTTGAGTAGGAAACATGTATCACGTTGATTAATTATTCGTACCCAGTCTAATTGTAAAGCGCGATCGCGCGTTCTCCAAGTAGCGCCTTTGACAGCGGAGAAATACTTCCAACGTTACACCGTTTTACACACTGATGTGCAAATTGCCTACTCTGCACTGGCCGGAGGGTACACTGTGTTTTAAGGCTTATTGTTTAACCTCCACCTATGTTTTCAATTTCAGTAGTTGCCAAAGGAACCCTATAAGTCTGAGAAAAGTTTTCGAAGTAATTAACAATACTTGGGTCACTAATGTAGTGCATAGTTCGTTTGATGGGCACACAGTGGTCGAGCTTTTCCATTTTAGCGACTTCAATCAGTGAACTTCAACTGCTTGAAATTCTTTAAAGATACAACCAGTTCAGCTAAAATGAGTGTTTCTCAATGTTTTAGGGTCTAAACCAGGTCTAAACCTGTTGTGGTTTTTGTGGTCCGTGTTTTAGACCCTCGAACCTTTTGGGCCAAAAAACCCCCCTTAATGGAACACATCCTTTAACTTAATAAAGGCATGGTTTTTTTAGAGGAAAAATATCGCATTCGATACTGATATCGAAACTGTGATATTTTCTCTCTAAAAAAACCACGCTTATATTACGTTGAATCTTTTTGTCAAAATGGGAAAGTGAATTCTTTAGTCTCCTGACAACAGAATTGCGATCTCAAAATTCGAGAAAAATGACGAGTAGATGAAAATATGGAACTAATCGATGTGATATTTCGCATGCCGTTTCGACGCAAAATACGGCGTCCATCGAATCACCTTAAATTCGCAGAGTCCCCTCATACTGAGAGTTAAGACAATGTGAATCCATCTCTGATTGATTCCCGTATTTTAGGCCTCCACAGTGTCACAAACGGGAATAAAGATTACATTTTCTTCGATTGCAAAGATTATAATCTGGAATGGACCGAGGAATTACGGGTTTTACAAGGAACAAACGGAATGAAAGAAGGTACAAAGAAAGGAATTTGAGAATGAGCCGATCAAAGATTACGAAAAACGTTCAATTTGTGAAATCTTTATTTCCGTTTGTGATTCCATAAGGGATGTTGACCTAACTCTCAGTATAAGGGGACTCTAGATGATACATCATTATTCTGGATGACCACTTCATCACTCGGGTTAGGCTTAGGGTCAGTTTATAGTTCAGGGGAGAAAAAAATAGAGTTCTTCATAAAGTAAAGAGCTTTTTTTTACCCTGCCAATTTGACCTGCATTAACTATTCCCTCTGTAATGAAGTTTCAACCAGAAGGACGTGTGAATAACTTTCACTGCAGATGTCTCCATTATTTGGACTCCGTTTTGCAATTTGGAGCTATAAATTCTGCCTTTTCTGGAAAAACACCTCTGTGCATAGGGAAACTAATGTCGCATACGTCGTTTTCAAACCGGGCTAGAATTTATAGCCCCAAATTGCATAATGCAGTCCATTTAAAGATGAATTTTTTCTCACAGCTTCACATGGTCCATGAAATCATGATGTCGGAGATCAGCTTATGGATCAGTAATTTTTGCGCTTGTAGTCGATTAGTTGATTTTTTATTTATTTTTTCTTGTTAATTTATTGTCATAAAGGCAATACAACTATGTCACTACTACTATGCTAAACTAAGTATCTATTGACTTATTACTAACACTGACTTATAAGTTATAATAATAGTTAGAACGGATAATAAGTATTCCTACTTATTATAAAATTATTGGTATGTAATACCATAATTATTGCTTAAAAAGTGTAGATTTTTTATGTAGTCTACAAATTCGAAGCTTGTCTTGTTGGTCCATTTTGAGGGGTATCATCGGATGGTGGCTCATTAGCACTTCGCTGGACGCTGTGCGATACGGTGCCGGGCGTCGGGGGCGTCGGGGCGCCGATCGTGTACCACCACCGCACCGCGCAGCGCGATCCTCCACCGCGGCGACGCCGACGCCGGCCTCAGTCTCATCCTCGCATCCTCGGGTCCTGGCGATGCAGCTTCTGTGTCTGTGACTCCAGTGTGCTCTGCGCTCACGTCCTCGTCGCCCGCGCCGTCCGCATCTCGTCCTGTGCTCGCGCCGCACTCCTCTTCGTGTTCGTGTGTGTTTGTGCCCCCATCCGCTCCCTCCCGCAGTGACGCTCGTCGATGCTCCTCCGACGCTCGCGCCCTTGTCGATCAGGTCCGTAAACAGGGGTTTCGCATCTGAAAAAACTTGTATGTTTTTTAAAAAAATGTGTATTTGAGGCCTTATATCGTCACCTTCCAGGCAAAGTATCACAAGCGCCATGCGACGTTTAAAAATTTCCGCCGCCATTTTATTTTTTTACTGAGAAATTGTAGGTTGAATCTGTTTGAAAATAAAACGGCGGCGGAATTTTTGAAACGCCGCATGGCGCTTGTGATACTTTGCCCGGAAGGTGACGATATGTGACAATGTCGGATGTGAAAAATTACCTTTTAGAAACACGCTTAAAAAACTGTGTTGTTCACACAGAAATTTAATATGTTCGGCTCTGGCATAATGTACAGATCTTGAAGATCTCATCTCAAGTATTTTCTCAAAATTTTCTCGATGCCAAAGCAGTTTTTTGAATGTGGCTCGAAAAGGTAATTTTTTACATCCGCTATTGTTACAGATAAGTCCTCATTTGTCGAAGGCAATTAGTCAAATCGTAGCTTCCCGGACGAAGGAACGTAACTCCATTTCAAGGTTGCAAAGTCGACACAAACAATTTGATTTCTTACAAGAATGTACCGGTGCAATTTTCGTCCAGAATTTTTCTGATATTTGCATGAGCTCAGAGGAAAAATCAGTGAAATTTGCAGTTAGAAATACGCATTATTCTTCAGGTGAAAGTGCAATTATTGAGGGGAAATTTGGCAATATTGTAATGTAGTTACGTCTATTAGTGAAGGAGATGACGAAATCAGGCATTTATCAAATGCCCAGGCAGATAGTCAAATTTTGACAGTACATACGGAATATTGTAAAATGGCAAAGAGTTCACGGGTTTTCAATATATTGGGAAGAATAACTCTTCAAATCCGCGAACTCTCCTTCCTCCTTCCTTTTTAAATGTCTTTAGTACATTTAAATTTTAAAAATTTGAAAATTCCACGTTTTATGACGAACTGAAAATATCACGAGAAATGTGCATTCAGGATCTTAAAATCGTTTACCTAAAGTACCATTCTGCGCTGCATATTTTTACAGAGAATTCTTCTTTACAGGAGGAACGAATTATTTTGTCTAGAATTAGGGTAGAGAATCAACATTTCAATCTAACTAAGAATATTTGACTATTGCCGAGGCATTTGACAAAATGCCTGATTTGACTATTTGCCTTCGACATATATTTTTGAAAAAAATTGGAATATCCAAAACTCGAAGTTCGAAGGAAACCGCAATACTGCCGCGCTAGGGAAGAACGCCGTATAAGCCATCAGTCATTTGCCAAGTTTCCTCTGATAAAATACGAATTTATTGGAAGAGTTATGAATATTTTCATTCCAATTTTTCAGACAATATTGTTCGCAGTTTAATCTATGATTTGTGAAAATTTCAAGGAATAATATGCAAAACCTCCTTTCTAGATAAACATGTTATCGGAGAAAATTTGGCAACTCTCGAATGTTCATACGGCGTTTTTCCTTAGCACGGCAGAATATGTGACCAGATTTGTGAAGAATGACCTTATCTTTCGGGATGAAATTGTTCTTTGCTTTTTGAATTTCAACTCTCAGGTTGATGAGAAGCTGCATTCGGAAAATAAGTTTCTTGGATCCAGATTCTGGTCTCTAAAAAAATTTGACGAGGAAAAATAATGCTGATTCAGTAGGATTTTTGCTTCAATCGAGCGCTAAGAAGCTTAATTAAGCGAATTTTTCTTTGATTCAAGGAAAAATCCGATTGAATCAAAAATATTTTTTTCATTTCAAATTTTTTAAGAGTCTAGACTCTAAATTCAAGAGACTTTTTCCTCCAGTGAGCGGATTTTTAAGTTTGTCAGACGATTATTCTGGAGAAATAAACATAATGCAATTTCCTTCGAACAGATCTTACTTTGTCTCACAGTAGAATACCAAATTTCTGAGAAAGTTATAATTACAATGAGTGAAAATCAAGAGAAATACAAATTATTGTGGCAGATGCTCACAATATATGTGACCAGATCTGTGAATAGAGACATTATCCCTCGAAAGTAATTTTCCTCAACTTTTTGCAAATCCTTAAACAGTGTTTTCCTACAACCTCAGAATTAGGTCTCGGAACTTCGGGACCAATATTCTCTTCAATTTTCGATATTTCAGCGTCAATTTTGCGCAAAATTTCCAGCTTTTCTTCATACGTGCATTTGCAAATAGTCACGAAAAAGATTCGCCCGAAAGAAAATACCCCTTTTTACAGATCCGGTCAAAAATATTTTTGGGGAAATTCCTTAAAAAATTTTGAACTTATTTTAACTTCATAAGGCCCAAACAAGCTTCAGGAGGGGGAAATACTAACGATTTGGGAATATTCTGAAAGTATTCACAAGACTAGCGTTTATGCAAAACCTGCCACTGCCCACTTCTTGACAATTTCGAGTTTGTTCGCATACGTGACGATAGTGGGTACACATTTTTGACCGACCATTTAGACTCCAAATGCGCAATATATCGGTGGCCAAAGTGCGAAACCACGTATTTCCATCGCGTTTTCTCAACATTTACCCTCATATTTTATTTTTTCGAAGAGGAACAAGCAAACTTGATGGCTTGAAATTTACACAGAATATTCTGCTGATAATGGAGAGGAAAAATCAAGGAAGTTTCCAAGATAATATGACCACTAGTTTCCCAGAGAAAAAGTAAAGTATGGCAGTAAGTCTGCAACGTCGCAAATGGAGATACACAGTTTCGTACCTTGGTCAACAATGTGTATTCTAGAGACTCTGCACAGATATACCCTCCCCATACGGTAAAGATTACTTTCGAAAGCCAACACTTAGATTCGCCTGATGATGACTGACGGCTAGGTAATCATCTGAGCAAATAGCTTAGAATCCCAACCTTCCTTACAAAGACCCGCTTAGCAAAAGGCTTACCTGACGTTCTTCAATCATCAATAGGCGAATTTAATACTCAACAAGTTACTCATCAATCATCATCAGGCGAAAATCAGCGATGACTGCCGAACTTTCCTTTTGCCTCACCCGACTGCATTGCTATTTTGCCGTGCTATAAGGAAGAACGCCGTAAGAGCCTTCAGGCGTTGCCTATTTCCTTTGACAAAATACGAATTTTCAGGAAAATTTGTGAATATTTCTCCTCTAATTTTTCAGATAATTTTGCTCGTAATTTGATTTAGAAATCCTGATAATCTATAGGAAAAATATTTTATAACTTCCTTCAAAAATACGTATTTTCAAAGAAGAAATTTGGCATCATTCGATTGCTTATACGGCGTTTTTACTTAGTATGGCAGCAGCATGGGTCGTACTCATAGTCGTTCCTAAACCAGCTCCTCTCCTCAGGAGATCCCATTTGGTTTACATTGTGACGAAGGGAGGTTTACACTGGACCTTAATATCATCATAAAAAGAATAATTTGTGTAAACCTCCAGTAAGATTTAGCAGCATAAAATGGAAATAGAGGACAATAATTTGCCACTGCAAAAAGTACAAAATATTGAAGAAAAATCATAAGATTTGAAAAAGTCCCAGAATATCATTTTGTTGTTGTTGAATTGTTAAATTTAATTTATTTTCGTTTTAGTACAGAGGTATACAAAGCGCTTAAAGACGAAGAGTTTTTGTCTATACTAGCGTATTAAAATATCGTGGTTTATCCATTTCCGAGTAAGAGTTGCGCTAAAAATAATTATTCCAACAACCGTTCCTAATCAAATAACATTGAGAAATCATAAGATTAGATGAACCTTAAGGTAGGTGCGAACTTAAAAAAATTATAAACTTAAAAAAAGTATTAAAATTTAAATTAAAATTTACCAGAAATTTGAACATTTGCAAATTCACAATATTCTGTGTTTAATATTATTTGGTTGTATCGGCAAATGATTGTAATCCCTTGTGAGGATCCATTATTGGTAATAATACTAGTTTTCACTCGAGGTTTACAAAAATTGTCTATTTTAAAATCGATGTTCAAAGCCTCCTGAATTCTCTCTTAATTACAGTGTGAACCCTAATGAAACAATTAAGTGTGGCAGGAAGTCTGCAAACGGAGATACGTGATTTGGCCATCGATATGGTCTCCTAAGGAGAGCAGGAGCTGTTAAGGGATGTCAATGAATACGACACTCGGGGCCATCCCTTAATTACGTAACGCTCTAGTTGGGAGAGATGGGTTGAGGAGAGCACTAGGCCATTTTGTTTTTACGTGTTAAAGGTTCGGTACCAACGTAAAAGAGTCACTAAGGGGGGAAGGGGGGTCAAAAATGCCGAACAATTTCGTTACGAAATTTAGGGACGGTCCCTTAGGTTGTTGATGCGGGGCCCTTAAAATGGACGTATTTCTGCCAAACGAAACAATGTGCATTAAGGCATGAGCCCTGAGACCAATAAGAATATATGCATAACCGGGCTCACGTCATAATGTACCTAGCTCCGTTTAGCAGAAATACGTCTAAATATATTGTCTCCGTTATGACCACCTGTATTTTCTCCATGACCTCTTGATGACTCTTTCGCATTCTGTTTTTTCCCCCGCGACCCCATCCCCCCCTCCCTGCTCTATATCCCCCCTCCAACAAAGCGTCCACGCCTGAACGCTGAATCAGCCAAAACACATAATGCGAGCTCGAATCTAGAATACAACGCCCATTACAAACAACCATTGATGTGGAACCACGGCCAAAGGATCGCCAGAGGGCAGCACCCGAGGAAAAAAAACACCGGGTAATGACTCAGTTTAAATCCACTCCGTATGCTGCCGTGCTGAGGAAAAACACCGTATGAACCTTCAGGCGTTGCCAAATTTCCTTCGGTAAAACACTAATTTCCTGGTAAACTTATGAATATTTTCCTCCCAATTTTTCAGATGATTTTGTTTGCAATTTATCCTAAAGTTCCTGATAATATCAAAGAAAAACGTTTATAACTTCCCCAAAAAAGTAAACGTTTTATCAAAGGAAATTTGGCAATCTTCGAATGTTCATACGTGGTTTTTCCTTAGCA